ATGTGATTTTTCAAAACCCCAAACAAAGACTTTCCCAGGGCAGGGTTACTTCCTATCTTGGATCAGCTGAAATGTTTTAAAACTCACAGCTGATGGTTGATATCTCTGGAACTCAGGAACTGGCACTGTCCAGGCTGACATTAGTTCTGTGACAACAGCTGAATCTTTGCTCTGAACTACCCTGAACTCTAGAACATCTGATTCACCATACTCCTCTCTACCCTGGTCTTATGCTCCCTTAGCAGCTAGAAGCTCATATCTCCATTTCTGGGTCCACAATTTAAATTTACCAAAAAAAAAAAAAAAAAGAGAGAGAGAGAGAGAGAGAGAGAGAGAGAGAGAGAGAGGCAAAAAATCTGGCAGGCATTAGTAAGAGGAGAATTTTTCCTTTAGGAGAAAAATACATATTAATTATATGCTGAGTGACCATTAGACCAGATAGAGACCATCTACTAAAGGTTAAATTTCAGTGTAAATGAGATAGAGGAGGAGAAGGAGGAGGAGGAGGAAGAGGAGAAGGAGGAGAAGGAGATAAAGGAAGGCAATTTTCTAAAGACGTCTTAAAAAGTATTATAACTAGATTGATATTCCCAATTGGAGAGAAAATATACAAAAAAAATCTTTCATCTAAATTAATCCATTAGCAATGCATTTTAACAAATTTATCCACTGACTGTATTCAGAGTAGCATAGGCATGTGACAGCCTGATTTTAGCATTTAATTCAATGATGTACTTGCAGAGTATATTTAAAGGGAAAAGATACAGATTTCATTCAACAGAACTTTATTATTCTCATTATTATTGTTACTATTTGGTACTGAGGATTGATCCTAGGGGCACTCTACCACTGAACTGCAACCCCAGCCTCCCACCCATTTTTTTTTTTTTTTTTTGAGACAGGGCCTTTTAAGTTGCTGAGGGCTTCATTAAATTGCTGAACCTGCCCTCAAACTCTTGCCTCAGTCTCTCAAGTTGCTGGGATCACAGGTGTGTGCCACCACACCAGGCTCAATTGATCTTATTTGGCAGTTTATACAAGAAGCTTCAGAATGTTTTTTTTTTCCACCTGCTTTGCTTCAGTGCTTCTAAACTAGATAGGTCTGCTGCACTGTCACCTTCACACCCAATGTATAGATAAATACAGAGAAGAATAATCCCTGGAAGGAAAATGAAGGTTCACTGTGCTTAGTTTGCATCCAAACACATAATTCACATTGATGAAAAGCCTCCAGTGATTGCTTATCCATTACAGATCAATTGCAGATGAGGCTTTAACTTTATTAGAAGCATAATTTAGGAATCCTGTAAACATTTAAGATTTAAAACCCACCGATGGAAAGCATAATCATTAACCTATGTGTGAAATTAAATCTAACCCTAAGGAATATTTATGTGCACATTGAAACTCCACCTGAGACTTTTCCAAGAAAATTATATACTAGGGGAGTATAAGGCAATTTAACCAACCTGGCTCCTGGAA